TTTTTTACAGTTATAAAGAGAAATACCTGAAAGTATTTTAGTAAAAACATTGTGCAATATCGAGTATAAACATAAGGAAAATTCGGCCCGCATCTTGCATAAAACAATTCAATAAAACTAAAAAAAAAAAAAATAGTATTGTTGTTTGCATAATTTAATGAAACACGTTATTTTGTTTCAGATTTGACAGAAAAAAAATCTAAACAATATTATTTTATATTATTTTATTTAAAAAATTTCAGTGCAATTTTGAAATTAATCCCGTTGTTGTTCGTGACAAGAGTTTGCTTTATTAAATAAAAACATGTTTGAAGATTTAAAAATGTAATTTTAATAACATTTTCGACTACGAAACTTTTTAAAACAAATTTTATTCTATTTTCCTTTTAGCTACTGATAGATTATTTTTGGTATGGCTGTGCAAAAACAAAATAATTTTTATATCTCGCATTGACTGTCTACTATTCAATATCGGAGAAGTATTATGATATTCATCATCTAATTTCACATCTCCCGTTCAGTCAGTATGAAAAATAATATTATTCTTAATATCAAGTTTAATAAAAGCGTATATAATAAAATATATATATTCGTAAGCTATTGGTTACATAAGATTAAAGAAAATTTAGTTTTAAACATAAATATCAAATTCTTTATTATTGCACTACTGGTCTTCCATATTTCATTAGGTTTTTTTATTATTATTTTTACTTTTTCCTGTGCTTTTTCGGACAGGTGTAGAATGAATGTCTGTCTATCGTGTCCGTTGACCTCATTTTTATTCTGTTTTAAATAAAAAGTAAGCATTACTTTTAGAAAATCCAGTTAATTAATCATTAAATTTACCAATAGATTTCGAAACATCTCTCTAGGATAAATATTCGTGTTTAAAGAGAATTTTAAATTTCTTGTTTACATTTTTCATATACAATGGCGGCTTGGTGAGTGACAAAAAAGTATTAATGATTTAAAAACACCGAAATGTTTATTTATATACGTAAATTATTATTATTATTTTTTTTTAATTCAGATTAGCTTTAGGTAATTATATTTCAAATAGAACCGAAATTTAAGTTCAAAAGAGACATTTAAAATATTTAATTGTGCTTTACAGGTATTTTTTATTTTTTTTAGAAAGTCCATAGCGGTATCTACGACGTTTTTCTTTTACGTTTTCTCCTCCTCCTAGTGATGGATTAAGAAGTAGAACATTCATCTGGAAAAATTGTTATTCTCACAAAATTGAGATATTCACTCGTAAAAATTATTCGTAGAATATTTCGGCTTTAAATAACCCACAATAAGTTGATAAACTGTTAAAAAAATCAATCTATAAAAAAACAAATAAAAAAAAACTGAATAAATGAAAAATCTCAAAAAACAACAAAACTGATCCTCTCCTGAAATGAATATTGTTTAGATTTACAGTAAACAATTTTTGTTGTTTTGATTTCGTTTCTATTTATTTTCTAGTCATTTTCCTCATATAAAAGTTTTAGAAGTTGAAGTTAAAAAGGTTTAATAATTTATTTTAAAAACTGATGGTATATTTTGATTTGATTGATTTTAGACAAAGAATTTAATTTATCTCAAGAGCATTGTCAAAGAAGACAAATTTTGCTTTCAGTTTAGTTTTCAGCCCCAACAAAATATGAAGAGAATGAAGCCCAAACAGTCCATAGCGTTGTGTATGATATCGAACTATTATGCTAGTGAACTGGTCTACGAAACAAGATTGTTAACCATTTTACTTCTATTTTCGCCTAGCACAAGACCAGATAATAGAGCACTAAGTGGCAATCGAACCTATTATACTAGCGAATTGATCTGCGTGACAACTTTGATAACCATCACGCCATGGCAGAGCCCCATATCCTGGGCTCCGAAGTGACGGGAGACAAGCTTATCGATTGCTATCTGATTACCCTATCCAAGGTTTTGATCTGGTCACACTGACCTGATGCCACTGTTTTTCCCTTGTGTTCTTTTCCCCATTTTTATTTACCAGCACTCATATCCAGTCTTAAATTTCTCCCTTAAACACAGATACATATTTCTAGGCTTTATTACAGATTTATGATATTTGATAAGCTTAGACAGACATAATTCCAAATAAGGCAAATTGGTGTTAGGAAGATTGTGTTGCGGCACTTTCCTAAGTGGGGAGAGTCTACCTGTTTTGAAAATTAGCATTTGTAATTCGTTTTTTTAATTTTTTTTTATTATGAAGCTAAATTTCATACGGCATAATATAACACAGAATCACCTAAGAGGCTTGCCATCCTTGAAATCCACTTTATAAATGTCTGCCATTTTCATATTAATGCATTATATATTACTACCATTTTTTTTAATATAAGACGCACCAGTGCACATTTGAAATCCATACTATTGTTATAAAGAATGCATTCAAGAGAACTAAACTATACATTCCTACATATATATATATATATATATATATATATATATATATATATATATAGTTGGCGTATAGAACGCAAGCAGATTTTGACATAAAATGTTTAGATAAAAATAGCGTCTTATACAGTAAAAAAGTTATTTAATACTTATATATTAGGATGCTAGAAATGCTAATGAACACTAACACTGTGTTGCATCAGTTTCCCGAATAAAGAAAGATGACCTGGTTCGAAAATCAACAATCGAGTTCTTGCCGCATAAGGTGGGATCGGGATACCGAGTTCAAATTCCGGTCGAGGTCGTTATGTGTACTTTAGTTCAAGTACATTTGCAAAAACTAAGAATTCCTTTTTTTACTCTCTTTGTTATGGGCCTTGGTTCGCTTCCACTATAAGAGTTGAACAGTTCCGATTTCAAAACCAGCCTGAAGAGGGATGGGCTCTGTCACGCTATCTTAGACACAACCACATATGGTGCCTCCAGCAACCCCATTGGATTACGGCACAAGTGATTGTGAATTTTAACTTAGTCTGACAATGCCTAGAGAGAAACGTATTATACTAATACCATTTTGTACTTATTTTCCAACGCTATGATCTGTATTCTTATAGCTATGTTTACCATTCGTCCATGCTTAGAATATTGCTGCAACATATGGTCCGATGCTGCTGCTATTTACCTTGAGCTCCTTGATATGATTCAAGGAAGAATCAGCAATATTATCTGTCCTGATCTGGCGGCTCAGCTTCAGTCACTTTCCCACCGCCGTAAGGTTGTCTTTTTTTGTTTATATATATATATATATATATATATATATATATATATATATATATATAGTTTTTATGTTAGTTGTTCAGATGGGCTCTTCCTATTGTAACTAGGCTTTTTGAATTTAAGCGCAGTAGTAGATTGGCGTCGAGATGTCATCAATTTAAAATTCAGCTGGCCAGATGTAACCATAAATTCTATGTTAACAGTTTCTTTTCTCGCACTTCTCACTTGTGGAACTCCCTTCAGGCTCCATCTTCTTCTCTTCTTCTTGTAACGGCATTCACCCGAGGTGGGTTGAGCCGGCTCCAATATTGGAGTTTCATGGGAATTTCGAATTCACAAGCAGTCCCCAACCAGCATGTAAAGCACATGGGATTTGATTATAGTGGTGAAGGTTTCGTGCAGGGCCATCCACACTTTTGAAGGGCCGATTACAGAGACCTGGTGCACTACGTGCCACAAGGTCCCCAAACGATCCTCCGCGGGTTTTGAATTCAGAGTTTTCCTTCAGGCTCCATGCTTTCCAGACAACTATAATCTGCAAAAATTTACATGCAATGTCAATCGCTGTCTGCTGTCCTCCTGATTACACTTCTTCTGTACTTGTTCCTTAGTAATGTTTCTGCTTTATAATTCTTCCACACCGGTTAGCACCATCTGTCTTCGTGGCATTACTGTCTTGCTTGAATTGAACTCGATGAAAAAACAACAAAAAAGCATAGCATATCCATGAGAGCTATGCCTTGTGTAATGCCAGATATAATTCTCACGGCTTCTAATCTTAACTGATTTGAGGTATTATCGTGTACAGGTTTTCTTATAGTGAATTAAGGTAGGCTACGGTAAATATCCCGTTCACTACCGCGTAATTTCTTGCCAGTTGCTTGATTTTGAACTGTTGGGGATGTCCCCTAGGGGACAATGTACGGTACATCTCTGTTTATGGGCGGGTGTAGTAAGAGGGAGTAATATGGCTGGATGTCAAACGGGTTGTCATTTTTAAGTTTGAAGGATGAGACAACCAAGCCGATTTAGATGCCACCTCTAGGTACTTGTGAACATTCTCAATTAGGGATCGTCTGAACGGACTTGGGTTAACCGAACTGAGGGTATTACTAACTGGGCCCCACCTGCAAGGGCTATGCGTCATGATGGATATAATGATCTTAGCATAGTTGTACCCCAACATCATTTTCCTGGCCTATCATTCAATAATAATAAATATGATGATGATGATGATGATGATGATGATGATGATTTGTGTTGGGTTTTCAACTTTTGCTCTAAAACTAAATTTGATTATAAACAAATGTCACAAACATTGGTGAATGTGCTTACAGACCAACGACCACACCTATTTCAGTTGTGTCAATGGACTGTCAGGTTTATAGAGTGCTTTCATCGTCTGTCCTGATTCATTCATGGCAGACGACAACAGGCAGTGAATGGGATAAAATGGCGGACGAAGAAAAGCAGAATTAAGTGTCAGAGGCAGAAGCTGATTAGGAGAAAAGAGAAAAGAAGTAGGTGAAGAAACAAAAGGAAAAAGAGAGAGAAAAGATTAAAAAAAGAAGATAAACAGGCGAAAACAAATACTAATCAAAAGAAGAAGAAATGAATAGAATAAAAAGGAGAAACAAGGAAAATAACAAAAAGATAAAAGAAAAATTGTGTATATGTATGTGTGTGTGTGAGAGAAAGCGAGAGAGAAGGGGGTGAGTGAGAGAGAAAGAGAGGGAGAGAGAGAAAGGAGGGGGAAATGAAAAGAAAGCAAAACTAGCAAGACAAGAATGAGCGGGAGAAAAATATCAGAAAAATAGAGGAAGGAAGAAGAAAGAATACGCAGAAAAGGGATTAACAAAAGAAAACAGAGGGAAAAAGAAATAATGAAAAAAGATAGAGAGTGTAAAAGAAATGAGTAAAGAAAGGACGAAGGTTTTAAGGAAAATGAAAAAAAAGAAAACACAAAAGAAAAATAGATGTATAACAAGAAAAAGAAAGGAAGAACGAAGAAAAACAATAATAAAATAGAAAAAGAAAAAAAACTGCCAGGAAAAAAATGACAAAGAAGCATTTGGAAAAATAGTAATAAAGAAAATGAAGGTACGAAGAAAAATAGATGAAAAGTAAGTAAAGAATGGAACGCAGAAAAAGAAGGAAAAAGAAACGACAAAAATAGAGAGAGAGAAAAAGTAAGAAAAAGATAGAAATAAAATAGAAGGGAAAAAAGAAGGAAAAAAAGAATAAGAAAATAGAAGAAAAAAAAAAGAATAGAAAAAGAAAGAAGGAAAGAATTTTTTTTTCATTTCTGCTTCTTCTTGTAATAATCTGTGTTACCTGAGATCCAGCTTTATATAAAAATACCTTCGACATGGTCATTCTCTGCTGTTAATTAAACATGGGAAAAGATCCCAGTGTCAAACGACAGAAACCTATTTGCAGTGTCATTGTCGAGAGGCAGACATGGCTCATGTGATAAAAGTGTTTTTTAATACGGAAGTTTCATGAATTAATGAAGTTTCGTAACACTAAACATGCAATTGCTGCGCGTAATAGTTTGACAAAATTACGTGTCAATTCTAGAAAAAAATTGATGTACTCTGTAAAGCAAAATCCAACACAGCATTAAGTTAGTGATCTGGTCTCCATCTTCTATATGCCTTAGGACATTGGCGATCATGGCTCTCCCAATTTCCTATCCTTTGTAACACTTAGTAAATTTTGTCTTTTTGCTATCTCTTCTAAACCCTGTTCTCTCATCCATTTAGACAGGCTCGTTAGGTAGGTTATGCGTTGTTTTTCTCTGTCCAGTTCTTGATTATTCTAATATGCTTCCCAAATATGTCAAGGTTTCCTATCAGTTTCAATAGTTCTTTGTGAAGTACTTTTTCATACGATTTTGCATAATCTATAAAACATAGGTATCTATCCTTTTGCATTTGTATTGCTTTTCTGATATCAATTTGAACATAAATATTACATTCCTTGTTCAAGTGTTTTTTTTAACGGAACCGAACTATTCTTGTTCTGTTTCCGGTATAATTCTGATGCGTACTCAGTTCATCAGAATTCGGATGATAAATTTCGTTATATGGCTCATTAGGTTGATTCGTGAAATGATATCTCACTTGAACACTTCCGAAATTAGATTTCTGAATTTACATCTCCCATCAACTTTGGCTAAATGAAAAGTTTAATTTTGAAGCTATTTTTGATGAATTAAGAGTCTATTATATATATATATATATATATATATATATATATATATATATATATATACGAGTTAAAGATCAAACGTAGATCAAATATGGATCGGTATCCGATAGTATGATGAGATAATTTATCTTATATATATATATATATATATATATATATATATATATATATATATATATAATTGTTGTCATTTTATATTTTTAATTTTGCGCATGCGCATTGTTTGTTTTTCATTTTGTCGACGGCACAGTATAGCAAGGTCAATTAAGCACCGTCTTGTGAGAAAAAGAGCACATGACCAAATTCATTCCGCCAGAAACTTGGAAACGGCATGCTGTACTGCTTGGCATTCGCGCCGGAAACTAATATGAACATTTCAGAGTGTCAATCCGAGGACAGTGTAGAGGATTCGATGATATATCCAATCAACAACCTGGCGGTTGGAGTGATCACTAGTGATGGCGACGTTAGGCCTCCATTGATCTTTCCACAGGGCCTTAAACTCAATATGGAGGCTGATATCAAGTTCTTTGAGGAGGTAGTTCGGTTCTGGTTCAAAAGGGTGGATGCTGGAAGACTATGTGTCTAGCAACAGGACTCTGCACCATGCCAATCAAGCAGAAGAACATAGTCATGGCTGTCAGACTATTTCTGCAACCACATCACCTTTTATATCTGGCCACCTAGCTTCCCAAACTGCAACCCTTTGATTATTGTGTGAGGCGCAGTTGATCAACAGACCAGAAAAACTTCTTGTAACACCAAAGATGAACCAACTTAAAGAGGAGGCCGTCCAAAAGAGTTGCAGAAGATTCCGAAGTCATTTGGAGGCTGTGGGTGAAGCCAATGGCAATTTTATTGCATAAATTATTTGTTAGTATTTCAAGATAATTTTGTGTAATGTTGGTAAATATATCTGTTAAAATGAGATGTCAATGTTATTTTGATTTTTGCGTAATTTAGACGACAATTTATCTATCGGAATATATATATATATATATATATATATATATATATATATATATATATATATATAAATAACAGACAATGAATGCCTATTATGTCTGATCATGAGCCGTTCTAATGTTCGTATGTTTGTTTTAATTTCGGGAGAAAATAAAGGCAAAAATTATTCAACATTTGGATATTTTTTTATTAAGCTGGTCCTTGATCTAAGCTTTCGGCTCACATGAGGGGTTATACGGACATTTTAACAAAGATATTCACCATCGAAGATAAAATTTTGTTGACATAAAAGATTGCTATGCGACGATAACGAAATATATATATATTCTTTTACTCATTTCTGCTATAACCTTATAAAACTATACACTCTATAAAAATCTCTAAATACACAAGTCATCTATAAAGTGTTAGATTTCACTCGTAGGTATCAAATGCTATTGCATAAAACATGGATATATCATTATATTTATCGTTAATACCTTCGCTAGCAGTTAGTGGATATTTCTTCGCTTTATACGTCATAAAAACACGACGTTTAGCTCAGCAAATGTGATTAGGCTGAGCCTAAGAAGTTCAGGATAAACCCGTTCTCTTTACAATATGTAACAGGATGCCCAAATACTCCGGTTCAAAATCAAGTCTTGAAAAAATAAAATCTATAAAAAAATAAATAATCGGATCTTTTCTGTTAATTCATCCCAAAATATTAATTCACCCCAAAATAAAAAGCACAAAATTCTTGCAGAGGGAGGGCCTTCCATTGCACACCGGTTGGGTTGATCTTTTGATCGCCCCAAATGTGTGCGAATCTGGTGAGCTATTTCTAAGTGTCGGGGTTTACGTTGCGCGCACCTTGGTAAACAAGCCAAAACAGATTTAAAATATTTTTTTTGAATTGTAAAAATTCACTTTGTAAGTACCTCGAATATCATTCGCACTTATGAAATGTGAATAACTCCCTGATTTTTGTTAATTTTTAATTCTGACGGTTGGATTTTTTGTGAGGCAAGCTAAACCAATTTTAATGTAAAATTTATAATTTCAAAATTGTGTCAAAAATTTAATAAAGAAACAAACAAACTTTGGTTTAAAAATTATAATTGGGGTAATTAATATTTGCGATAAGTAAATTTACATTATTTGGGGGGAATTAACAGAACAAATCAAATAATTTATTAAGTCGGAAGAATCCTTTATTTTACAAATGCGTGTAATAGTTTTAATAACCAGAATTTTGTTTGAAATTGTCTAATATTTCAGCTTTAATTATTTCCAACAATATATTCCTTTTTTAAAAAAAAATATTTAGCGCAAAGCCTTGTCCGGTGTTCCCTGTTTTAATCCCTACATTTATAAGATTTAAAAAAAGCCGTCTGACAAGAAAAGAAAGTCTTTTCAGCCATCGTGACATGACAGTAACGAGACATTTTTGAACGCTCAGTTAGAACACAGAAAGTAACACATTCATGAGCATTATGAGTTTCGGTCAAAATTCAAACCTCCTTTATCGGTTCCATTTTCTTTTCAGCTAACTATTGTGCCACATGGTACCTACTAACCAAGAGGAAATAAATAATAAAGAACAGTTGAGAGAACAATAAAAAAGTAATGTACAAATAAAGAAGAATGAGGAAGAGGGGGAAGAGAAGGAAAAACAGAAGGACGAGGATGGAAAGGGGGGAGGAGGAGGAGGAGGAGGAGGAGGAAGAAAAGAAAAAGGAGGAGGAACAGCTTTTTAACAAAACCAATAACGTTAATAATGCGACGAGCGAGGAAAGGAATGGAATAATGGACAAGAAGAGTTGGCGGATAAAAGTGTGAAAGAAATTAACTTCCTGCATTTCGGCCAACTTCGACTCAAGTCGGCAGTGGTCACGTCATTTTTCGTCACGTCACGCCGAGATCTCGTGAGGTCACGTTACGCCTTTAACAAAAAGCACAAAAAAAGAGAGAAAAGAAGAAAACGGGTGTGTTGGAGATAAATCTAAAAATGGGAGGGATGATCACTTGCTTGAAGAATAGAGGAGGGCAGAGTAATGAATAGAAGGGAGGGATGCTGCTATTTTTGCCCTGTCCGCCTCACATCACGAAGGATTGTCAATTCTTGCATCTTTGCGCTAAAACCAGCCATTCATTAAACATATCCAGCAACAAATGCTGGGATCGAACGTGGCCATTAATAGCTAAAGCTGGCCAATCAGGGCTAGCACACACCAGTTCGTTCTGGAATTACTTGGGACGTTTTATATAGAATAGATCTTAGAGAAGGTAATTACATCTGGGCGGGGAGGGGTTAGCCCTGAACAGATACCGCAGTATTTGAGAACATTATCACATCAACCTCTCTGTGTATGCACACGCATAAACGAATATATATATATATATATATATATATATATATATAGAGAGAGAGAGAGAGAGAGAGACACACACACACACACACACGGCAGTGATTTTTGATTGTTGCTATCTTATCAGTATTTATTTATTTTTTACCAATATTTATGTACATTACAAATTAAACTTAGCACGACTGACTATTATTAAAAAATGAAAATTTGGGGGCGGGGAATTTTTTTTTCTAGGATCTTTTTTTTCGTACGAATCCGTGAATTTGTTTTTTGCTCATGCTAAAAGAAAAATAAACACTATATTAAACTCACTACATTTTTCATACATAATGATGAATGTGTTAAAATTATTCAACATTTTAACAAGAAATATCTCAAGTTGATGTTAAAAATTGCCGCAAAACATTGTTGGTTTATTTAAGATGGAATCATCTATTATGATAGGTCTCTAATTTCTATTTAGATACATTGTATTTATTTACAATTTTTCTAATTGAATTGTTCATCTATATTGCATATGATACATTATTGTACATTATTAGGTTACAATAAAATTTGTATTTTATATGAAAACTGCCTTATGAAATTTGAGATGTAGTAGAGTAGGAGGCACTGTATCTTAGAAGTGGGGTTTAAAGGGCACAAGATCCTTGAAGGACCATATATATATATATATATATATATATATATATATATATATATATATATATATATATATATATATCGATAACGCTTGCATCAAATCCTGGTCACTAACCGTGATTTTTCCATTA